TTTCAGTTGCAACTTGAAAACGTATCAGATAGATACCTGAAACCATTACCATATTTGTTCATTCCTTTTACAAAATTCTTCATGAGTCCCAGTTTAATATCAAGTATAATCAGATGAGGCAGTTCATTGTCCTTGATAGTGCTGTTCCATTGTAGAAGTATCTTGGTGGAAGCAGTCAGCATGTTCCTTGCTCACTGAATGTAGATGATGACAGATTTAAACTTGACTGGTGTTTTCTTTAGACCTATAGTCTATGAATCCAATCAAATGTCCTTGTAGAAAGAAATACGAAAGTTTTCTCAACAAATAATCCTACAACCATGGAACCAAAAGAAAATAGTAAATCCTCTCCCTCACAAAAGAAGTAAGCTCTTTAGTTTCTTTGCTGCCTCCAAGGTACCAGCAACCTCATCTTGATCTACACCTACTTCCATGGTTCTTACATTCTTGAAGTAAGCAACCTTCTAGATTATTGGAAGATTCATGGAAAAACCTTTCCTACCATATCTCTACTAGGCAAATGGTACTTGAATGTTCCAGCATCCTCTGTCCCATTGAACAGTTGTTCAGCATAGGATGCAAAACATTCAGACCCGATCACCACCACCTCACTGACAAGACATTTGAAAGACTGATGTTCATAAAGAACAATGGACAGTTACAATATCTACAAGTCTCTTTCAGAAATATATTTTTTGTTTTAAAACTATTATTGCATTTTAAATGAAAAATAAAAGTATTGAGATGCTATCATCTGCTGTTTTATCATTATTGGATATTACCTGACAAAGTATTCATGAATACATTCCTGTGTATTCCAATTTGAATACTTAAATTTTTCCTATGCTCATTTTCATATTCATAAAAATATGAAGTATTCTTATTCGTATTCGCTTACTATCTCCAGTATTTGCCCCATCTTTGTTATACTGATGATCTGTACCTAATTCCATAGAAAATCTCATTTGTGAGAAAACAATACATATATATATATATATTTAAAATCAAAAATAAATGAATAAGAACAAGATTTTATGGTTAGGTTACACTGGGCATCAAAACAAAAATATTTCTTTTCTACTAGAAAAAATGCAACTGTTCTGAGTAATCTGATGATGCCAAATTTAAAAATCATGTTAAAATTACTGATCACCTCTAGTTTTCAAGTTATGATAGATTTATTCAAAATATTCTTTATATATCATGAAAATAACTTTTTCTTAAATAACTTTCTATATTCATTAAAAATTGCATTTAAGAATGTTCAAATACAATACATAATAGCAGTACTCATTTGAAAGAGCAATGAGTATAATAAGATTATACTGAAAATACATTCAGGCTATGTTCAAAATTTTCATAATGGATTTACTTTATATTACAAAATAACTGCTTGACTTGTAACTTTCGTGTATGTTCTCAACTTCATGCTGTAAGAATCAACAGTAAACTCCCATCATCACAAGATTACATCGTCCTTGATATCGCTGTTCAACTGTAAAAATATCTTGGTAAAAGCACTCACCATGCTTGTCGGTCACTGCACCTAGATCATTTGGAAAGAAGTCTAAATGGAAGTGTGTAAAAAGTGCATCTTTAGAGGCATCCTAGACACCATTTTCCTATAGTTCTCAAGCATATCATCAATCATCACAGCATAGTTTTCATCTCTGTGATCTCCTAAGAAATGTTTGACAACCAGTTTGAATTATTTCTAGGCAGCAAGTTCTTCCTGATTGAGTACTGTTTCAAAATTATCATCCATCAGCACTTCTCAAATCTGTGGCCCAACAAAGCTACCTTCTTTAATTTTTTGCTTCATTGGTTTTTGGAAACTTGTCAGACATATATCTAAAACCATTACCATCTTTGTTCATTCCTTTTACAAAATTATTCACGAGTCTCAATTTAATATGAGGTGGGAGCAGAAATGCATTTTAGGATTCACTAAAGGTGTATACTCAATATTCTAATTACCTGGTATGTAATTCTCTCTCACTGGCCATTCCTCCTTTTTGAAAATATTTTTAGTGGCTGTCCCAGAGACACAAAAAGCAACAATGTTGGCCTAGCAGGAGTGCAATAACTTTTAAATCACCACATATGTTCCACCTGCCGTGATAATATTTGATTACCTCAAATACAATCTACATGCTTTGATAAGTTTCTTTCAGGTTCAAGCATGAGCAACAGGAAGCGATGGCTTAGTTTCCACTGTGCTAAAATACACCCTTCTGACTAACTTTAGATGAGTCGATAAAATGTCTTCATTCTTGAGGAATACATTCAGTATCCAATTCTTCCATTAGTGCATCAACATTTCCACAGAAACACAAAGTAACTTGCATGCTCTAGTAAGAAGCAAGATTTTGATGGTGACTTCAGTGAACTGTAACTCTTGTTTCTGGAGCTAATAAATTCCATTGCTGTAAATGATAGTCAAGAAGTTCCCCATGCTGCTTTAATAGAAACAAGTCACAAATCAGATCATTTCGCTTTTCTTGTGTGCTCAGATGAGGCAGTATATGATAAGGTGCCACAGGAATAAAATTACTCTATGAAGAGGATGAAGATGATTCATTGTCTCCTTTGCAGGATAACTCTTCTGTTTCCCAATTTGCTGATGGATGTGGAACCGGAATAAAATCCCCAAAAGGTAATGGTTTCATTGCAGATGAAATATCTGGATATTTAATGTATTGTTTAGTTTTTGCCTAAAAATCCAGAAATATCAGTCATGTAAAAATAACAGTCAGTTAGATTATTTTGGGGCTCACGCTATATTATGGGAACTGCAAATGGCATATTTGCTCTCTCCTTATTCAGCCAATGTGTCAAGTCAGGTGTGCAAACTATACAACACACATGTGAAGTCAATGTTTTTCTTGGTCACCAATTTTACACCCAAAATACTGGTAGTTTGCTACCTTTACTTTGTGTGTGATGTTTTTCCTTTGTGAAACTGTAAAATATTTTCCACAAATGTAGCAGAAACTGTTTGGGTGATTTTGACACTTTTAGACTTCACTTGAATTTGAACTGGAGGCAGCCAGCATTTCAAATGATTTGTAGAAAATATAAAATAATTTATGTTTACAGAACTAGAGTTTAAAAATAAAAAAAACAGTTTTTACAGAATTTGATTATATTGTAGGTATGATGTGAGGAAGAAGATCAGACTTTGTTTTGACAGTGTGCAGAGCCAGGAGAAGTGACCATGTGAGTGAGAGGCAACTGAGAGAGAGAGAGGCATCTGTCTCCACCCCTTTTATGCTCAATTGAGGGACTTCTTGAATGTTCTAGTAAACTGAGCATGTAAGTATTTCATGATTCCTGGGCAGAGTAGATGAGTGTGGGAATGAAGCAAAAGTGTTGCAATTCACAAAAATTATATTGAGAACAAATAGCATATATGAACGATATATTTGGAATTTTACACCAATACAATACATTCAGTGTTTGAAGTTATCAAAAATGTATGCTATTTACCCATTAAACTGTCCGTGTAAACTTAATTTCACAGCATAAATCTATTGTACCGAGTTTATTGCATAGTATTTCACACAGTGCTGATATAATACTGAGATACTACAATAATTCAAAACATAGAAGCTATGGACAAATTCTAACTACATTTTTCAAATCAACACCATCAAACTTCCCAAAATCACTTGAGTTTTCTCTAGCACCAAATTTGTTTAGTTCAGTGAATTATTAGGATAACATTTCACAGCAAGGCAAAAATGTCTGAAAATCACTGAGCATGATATGGTTTTGATCACCTGTTATTTCTCTTTTAAAGTAAAGCATTTACAATTAGGCAAGCTCAACAATACTGCTGAAATCTGCAGGAAAAAGTATGGAACACAGCAAGTGCTATAATATTTATAAAAAACTACTGCTTCTTCATTAAAATGCATAAATATCTTTTAGTAACAAAAATTACATCTACAATAAAAACTTACAAGTTAATTCATAATTTACTATGCCCTCCAGTGATAAGTTTAACGGCTTATGACACTATAAATCAGATTTCAGTACTCATGGTAGACATAGCACAGATAGCCCATTGCACAGCTTTGTGCTTCACAAACAAACAAGTTGCTATTCAACACGAACAACAACAACAAAAAAAGGATTGAAACATTATGGACCATTTTGTACTCCATAGTATGGACTTTATCCTAGTAAACATAAACTGCCATTACACCTACAATACATTACATTAATTTCTAAAAAAACTCCACAGGTCATCCTAAGCTTTGAATTTGATAATAACAAACTTGAGGAATTAAAGGGAAAAGCAGGTATATTTTTAATGTTTAATAATAGCACAGGGGGGGGGGGACTTCTAAAGAAAAGTAGTATATTTAATTTTCCTTCAATAACGTGTTTACACCATGCTACACTGTAAATTGTGAATAAAGGGATTACTAGTGGCAAAAATTAAAAATTAATTTAGTGATACTTATTGATTGGTACATTCCTAAAATATTTTCAATCTTACGTTGCAAAGCTAAATTACTAGCATTTTCAACGAGTTTCATACCAATTGCATTAACAGTAACACTGCTTTGATTCAAGGAAACGGGTTAATAAATGACTATCTGAAGAATAAAATTGGGTTCCCTTTAACCACTAATAATATTAATACTAGACTAGTGACTTAGCTCTATATTTCAGCCTTGCCCTTATTTTCGGTCTGATTTTCTTAATTTTGGTCAACAGATTGGTTAACATCTCGTAAGTTATATGTACTGATGTACTATGAATATGATGTACATAAGTAGTATATTACTAGTTACATTTACAATACTGTCAAGAGTACGTTCAACATAAACTAATAGTAATAAAGTAAACTTCCTTATGTTAAAGTAACAACCATTATTTAAGCATCAAAACGGCAAGTTATAAAAACTGTTCAAATTTCTCAACATATTTAATAATTAATTTCGTATACATTAATAGACATAAACTTATCAGAACATGTTCTTACTAACCCGGAAAAGGCTGTGGTGTTACTGTTAGTAAATATACGAACTCGCATTTTTAGAAATCATACTTTTTTGGTGATTAAGTGCCATCTATGGTTGTATTATAAATCATATATATATATATATATATGTCCAATAACTTTGCTCAATGCAACATAATTATATAATGTTAAAATTAATACTAGAATCAATGTCTTATACATCCTATATTATTGTAAAGTTTATTTATTGTACATAGAATTCACAAGTGCAAGATCATTATCAGTGTTCAAGACATCTTTTTTTTAAATTTATATCACTAAAACGGGCTAATAATATAGAGACAAAAAACGAGTTATTTCTTACAACATGGTACTGACAAATTGGGCGCAAATAGTCCTTTTTCCATCTTTTCTACGTTGTTTGTTGTTTTTCACATAAACTCAAAAACGATTTCGTTATCAAACTCGCTCTATATATATATATCTACTGTATCACGATTTGCCCACCAGTGGCACAGCGGTATGTCTGCGAACTTACAACGCTAGAAACCGGGTTTCGATACCCGTGGTGGGCAGAGCACAGATAGCTCATTGTGTAGCTTTGTGCATAAATTCAAACAAACAAGTATCACGATTTAAAAAAAAATAGGGAGCAGATCACGTTATGGACCCACAGTTAAACTGACTATACGATTGGTGTGAGATAAGTTACATCAAAACGCAGCTTAATGCGTAGTGTATTGGACCGAGAATCAGCAGGTTTCGGGTTCGAGAAGCAATGCTACGAAGCATGCTTCACATTTTAAGCTATATAGGCGTTGTAAGAGTGACCTCAATCTCGCTTTTCAATTAAGAATAGCGGTTCAGACTTTGGATACTGCTAACTGATTGTCTTCTCACTTCTTCACTGTTCAAAATTAAAGACTGTTTACCTCACTGTGTGCACAAAGTGTTGTTCAGACGAAAAACATACAAACGTTGCAATTCACTTTTGTGCAGCATCATGTCATTACTTTTGTGCATTTATGTGGCATATCCAGATGAAACTAAATTGACGTTAGAATTATCGGCCAAATCCACTTGATAACTGGATATTCGATCAAGATATCGATTATGGAGTAACACTAAACCTCTTACAGACTGGGTCGATGGAAAATAATGAGACTGGACACGAAGTGTAAAACAAAATTCCCAATTTTATTATATATCCAAACAAAAACAGTGTGTGTACTTAAATATAAAAGAAACATGCTGGACTAGATCTCTGACTGGATATTATTTGCGTTGCTGCATCTTGTTCAGCAAAATTCTCTCTCTCCAAAATGATATCCTAGACTGATAAGAAAAAAGACTCTAAAGCACACTCTACAAGCAAACTGTTTAAATGTAATGTTCCAGGCAGACCGATTCAATGTAACGCTTCTTGGCATGTTAGGAATCTTGCATTTACTCAAAGCGGCAAGCGCTAACCACGTGAATGGTCATTCTCATTACAACATAGGGAGACCATAACCTCTAGATATCACCTGAACAACCGTTGAAGGGCACTGCTATAGACATTCTTATACAATGTATTGTACTGAGCAATATCATTCCCGGATGGTAACAGATATTATTAACTTTCGAGAACAACAAAGGAACAAAAATAGCTTGGAACAAGACCAAATTAACAGCTTTGTCGATCACGTCTTATATGAAACTTGCATGTATACAGAAAACCGAATGAAGTGAGAATAAATATTAGAATGTTACAAGAAGATATGAACAAATTATACATTCAAATACCATATGTGTATGATTTAATGTTAATTTTGTTAAAAGACATTACTTATTTCTTTATTATTATTATGCATGTTGACTATTAATTTTTAGTTATTTTGTTCTAAGAGAATAGCGTCAGGTCTAAGATAATTTGTAAAGAAAGATACAGTAAATTACAGAAAGAAGTTCTAAAGTATATAACTTGGTGACAAATGTCAAGAAAGTATTGGAGAAGTTAAGAAAATTTAAAGAACTAACTCTGGCAGCCTTTGTATGGACTAGTATGCACTACCGCCAAAGTGCAGAAGTAGGTTTTCAGCTTGAATTCCTGAAAAAAATATTGAGAGCTGATGTGAATATGCTGTGTGAGCTTTTCAAAAGAAATTTAAGTCACACACTAACTCAGATATAGACTTACAGGTTCTCCTTTGCTTAAAATAGCCTAGCATATCACTATAGATTTCTAGGAATAACTGATATAAGTTGATCACCAACTAGTAAATAATCTAGAAGAAAGCATTTCAGTTCAGACCATTGCTAACACATTAGTAGATAGTACACAAATAGACATAAATATATGTGACATAGAGAATAAACATTAACAGCCTGTTATTTGCTAAATTGTTTAAATTGTGAGGTGTTACAAAGATGGATATTTCACCACATGATCCTCAATTTGATGGTTTGGCTGAGCAAGCAATACAAACTTATAAGTGTAAGCCTGCAGAGTTTTTGTGTCAGTAAAATAATTGGCTGTGATGAACATCTACCTATGTCAGGATAACATATCAAACAACAGAGCACCTAACATAAAGCTCAGCTCTCAGTGAATGTGATGTATTGACCACTACCTAGTAGGAATGTTTCAGAATGCTTGTAGGAATATATGGAGTATTTAAGATCCATATTGGTCGATTGCCATGAACTTGCATGACATATCTGGGTAAAGCAGCCATGTTTCAAAAGTTATGATAAAATAATAAAAGTATGCTTTTTCAAGTGTGGAGTCCAGTTTTGCCTGTGGCATTTGGCTGCAGCATGACAGCAACTTGACTTTGGCTCAGCTGGACAGTATCTTATTTGTTAATAGCTTAATCTGTCAAACTATGAGCTTCAGATCATATAATGTGTAGAATTATGTTAAACACATGGACAAATTGAAGCTGTACATCACTGTTGAAACTCTCATGCACTGGTTGAACCATGAACTGGAGTTGGAAAGGACTGATAAGTCATTGATAATGAGAGCACTAAATCTACTTATCTCGAGCCAAATGATAATGAGGAATATATCAAAAGTTTTTCTCTGGTTTCTCGTCAAATCAAAAGGTTGGCCATAGTGTCAACATTAACACTCAATTCGATATTGTTAAGAATGAGTTCAATCAGCTTTTACGATAGTGTTAGAGTCACATACTTTAGCCATTAGGTTGTTAGTGTGTGTTGAAGGCCAGAAGAACATAGCATATCTTGTGTTCTGAGCAATAGAGTGGAGTTTTGCAATTATTCTTAACGCAGGTCACATGAGGTATATTGTGTTGTAATAGTTATAATAGTGATAGAGTTTAGAATTTCAAAGAGGGTAGCTCTGTGATATAAAAACCAAAGACTTAGCAATCCTTATTTTCTAGCAATGGAGCGAGTTTGTCTGCCGAAAACACGCCAGAATCAACCAGAATAGCTAATGATATTAAATTAAATACTGAAAAAATTAATAGAGAGAATTTCTGGTGGCAATGACTAGAGAGTCTAATACATCTGAAAGCCAAAAGGACATTTCAAGTTTCCTTTCCACTCAGGTGAAAGTCTTTGGGGAAAAGTATTAACCATTTACTTGAGAGGTAATCCGAGAACTCTTATGTGTAGAAATACGTGATTTTCGGGTTGTATTTGCATGCAAAAGCTTTCCTTCAAGTATAAATTGTCTATACCAATTTTCAAAGTATAGTGACAGGAACTGTATGCTAAATGACACAATAAATAATCTGTGTTAACCAGAAATGTTTTCCATAAGCTGTTTTCTGCAAAATTTTGCCAACTTTTATTTTTTGCATTACCAAGCCAAGTGAGATTCCCAGTCTCTGCTGATGAAAAACATCCACATAATATGATGTTGCCACCACCATGCTCGATATTTGGGATTGTGTTGATTGGGTGATGTGCTGTGTTGGGCTTGCACCAGATGTAATACTTTGAATTGAGTTCAAAAATCTCCCTTTTTTGTTTCATCTGACCACAAAACCTTCTGCCACATGGCTGCAGTATCATTTACAGAAATCTCTCTCTCTCTCTTGTAGCAACAATATTACACATAACGAGAAAAACTTAGAAGCTTCGAGTAAGATGACGTCAACAATGTTACAAAAGCCTAGTACAACAACATATACAATGAACGGCTCATACAAAGTTACGTAACGAAACTTGTCATATCTATCGTTTTTAAATGATTAACTTTTAATACTCTTGTTATGAAAAACTAAACAATCATTAAATATTAAATCACTAAATAAACTCGTATGAAGTTTGCAATAAAGCATGTAAATGATACTGCAGATATGCGACAGAAGGTTTTGTGAGCTTTTTGGTCTACATTGAAAATTCCAGTAGAAGATGCAATTAAGTATTTCGAAAATACATTGTTACAAAATAAAACTTCAGCAGTTGAAATTATATATATAATTGATCTAACAAAGATGTGTGTAAATAATCCATTTTTTTTTCAGGCTAACAATGTTTTTTATAAACAAAATGAAGGTCTAGCAATGGAATCCCCACTTTTACTATTGTTATGTGACTTATATATGGATGCATTTGAAACAAAAGCCATAAATGGTGCAAAATGTAAATATATTTACATATATATTTGTAATATTTGGATAAGGTATGTAGATGACACATTTTTGGTGTAGAGATATGGTAATAAGGCATTAAAAGAGATTGAATAGTGTAGGACCTTCTATACAATTTACATATTATATTGAGATAAATAATAGTTTGCCTTTTCGAGTTGTATTGGTAAAAAGGAATGAACAAGGGAATTTAAAAACATATATTTATCGGAAACTTTTTTCTGTTGTTATGTCATCACACCAAAAATCATGTCTTACTGAAACACAAAAAAATGTCTGAATATTACACTTATGTTCATAGAATTTTGAAGACGTATAAAACAAGAGGATTCAAAAAATGAGTTGTTACTAATGAAATATATAGCAGTTGAAAAAGTATTTAACCCAACTATTGTAGGTAGAGCAGTTAAGAAATTCACTAATGCGATAATAATGGACCAAGGTATTACCTTAAAACCTAGTTATGATAAAAGTAAAAGGGAATGTTTAGTGTTGCCAAATGTTCCAGGTTTAACTTTTAGTTTATTCAAAGTGTTTAAAAGGCAACAAATAGTTTACTCTATATTTAAACTGATGAATAAGACGAAGCAAATTTTAGGTAATACTAAAGATAATATACAATTAATGGAAAAGCTGGAATTTATGAAAATTGAATGTGGAAGTGTTTATATATATATTGGACAGGCAAATGTAATTTAAAATATCGTTCAGCAGAACATAAGGGATGTGTAAAAAATGAAGTTTTTAAGTTAATGTATTATTAAAAGATATTGTGAAGCACCAACGAAAGTTTCTTATTGTTGTTGTTTTGTGTGATTCTTTGTTAAAGGATTTGTGTCGTCTGTGTGACAAGTAAGTATTTTGAGGGACGAAGTTAAAGTGCTTTTTGACTACATCGTAAATTTAAAGATAGTTGATTTAAAAGTTGAATTGTTGGCTTGAAACGAGCCTGATAGAAGGGAGGAAAAGTGTGATATGCAGACATACCCCCTTTTTTAACCCGCTTTAGTGATAATAGAGCTTTAAAAAAATTTCGGTTATTTAGTTTTCGTGCTATAATGGCAGCACCACATGGTCCAACAAGTGGTTAAGATTACGTTGTTCTAATTGCTTCATTTGTTTGTTCTCTGTAGTAGGTGATGTCTATTCTGGCCGACGGGATATTGCAATAATATATAGCATGTAGTTAAATTGATTGCACTGGAATATCGTTTGCTGAATGACATGACGTTGACTAAATGTAACAGCTGGCTAATGCTATGGGGGACAACGGTTACAAAGTGACACTGTTGAACGAGAAAGAAAGCAGGTTTACCCATTGAATTATGGCACGCTTTTTTTTGCCAGTTCTGCTAGGAGAGCCTCCCAGTGGCACAGCGGCATGTCTGCGGACTTACAACGCAAGGTTTCGATACCCGTGGTGGGCAGAGCACAGATGGCCCATTGTGTAGCTTTGTGCTTAATTACAAACAAATAAACAAAGTGCTAGGAGATTATAGAGAATAAAGACATTTTTAAAATCATCATATAAAAGTAACTGTCTTTTTGTGTGTGTGCAATAATAAATATTGTTTTCATTATTTACTTTTCAACATCGTTCAGTCTCATTATTTTACAGACACTAGGGTGACTCGTGTTATCTGACCATAATCACTCTCCTTATGTTTTGAACAAATTTTCAGTTATTTGTGGATCTGTCTAGCTGATACTTGTCTTTACCTCAAAATACCACCATTGTAAGCTCCATTAGCCTCTCAGAAGTGGTGAGTGTGTTATACAGACCAAATAGCGTGACACAAAATACATATAAGCGGTCTCTCATACTAAATATAGTCTTAAGTCTGCTCTCTTCATCCAGCTCACTTTCCAGTAGTTTGATGCCAGGTCTAAAGTGAACCAATGTGTCCAGACATTGATAGGTTTGTGACAAGAGAAAGGCAGCAACACGAGTTACTGTTTTCCTAAAATCAACACAGAACCAGAGCATGTCTTCCTTTTTTCTGATAATCACTACTGGAAACAACCAAGCACTCTCTGAAGGTTGTATGATCTCATCCTTTAACATATGTACATCAGAGCTGGTTATATTCATAGTGCTACAGAGAATATGGCACGCAAGTTTGGTCAGACATACATTGCCTGCATCTATGTGATGGCAAATTACTGTTTGACCCAATCACCCATTTGATCCCACAAATAAACTGGCATATTTAACCAACAGGTCACTGAGTTGATACCGTTGTATTGAATCTAGACTGCTTTCACAATCCTCAACTAATGATTTTTGATATGCTGGTACTTGCTTTTGGCCACAACGTGACGGATGCAACCCTAGCTAAGTTACTTCCGTTTCACTTACCATGCTAATGATCATTCTAGCGGGAAGCTGAATAACTGATTGTCCATAATTGCAGAATAACACTGGAAATTCATCTCTTCTTAAACTGATAACTGCTCGAGCTAATGCTACTTGGTTTCTAGATAGAAAACAGTGTTTTTCTTGTGTGGGCTCTATTACTACAGTACGGGATGTAGACAGAGTACACCAAATCCATAGTACACCATGGAACATTACTTGTATATAAGGAGGTATTGTGATTTCCTTCTGTCACGTACGCTTGTGCAGTCCAATATTCATGGGCCCAGTCTAGCTGATATCAGATAATTCTTTCATGTTGTTTGACCCAATAACCCATTTGGTCCCACAAATAAACTGACAAACAAACCAATAATTTCCACAGTATATCCATTCCAAGGATTCCAATTCCAGAATCAAGGTCAGAGATTACTTTTGTGACATCAAGAAATAGCCTAAGACTTGCCTCTCCACCCATGTCTAGTCTATCATCATTTCTCAGAATAAAGTTGGGTGTCCACTGGGCAGAGAGGTGGCTTCTCAAAGGGCCTGAGACACTGTTAGATCTACTAATGTTCTGTATCAACCAGGAAAACGCTCTCCCACCCTTGTACTCTTACATGCATGCATCAAGTTTCACCCAGCTTTGATAGAGCTGGGCTGACCACCAATCTCACAAGCTATCTGCACTCTTCCCCCAAAGTTGATGACCAAGAAAAACTTGGGATCCATATGTCTGCTGTCAGTACAATTCAGATATGACTGTCTCACAGTCCTATACTGCACCTCTCTTGATACATGATGGAATTCGGAACAGTTGGAGAATTTTTGCACGCCTTTGAATTTCAGAGACAAAACATGTTTTCCCTTTCTCACAGCGACCTGTGGTTGCAGCCAGAGCTTCTCTGCCAACACCAAGCTGAGATGTCATCAATGACACAGGTACATTGTAGTAGACATACTCATGGATTCTGATCCTCATGCAAGTATTTGGCCCTTTATTACTCCTCACATATCGTTTGCCAGCTCTGTGTAACCCCATCTTTTTATGTGATCCATAGTTTCTCTGGTAGAATATCTCCTGGCTCAGAGAAGTTTGAGATTGCTCCATAGTTCTGACTGGCGACTGTCTTGAAGTCCTGTACAGCCCATCCCATATGGTCTTCCACTTGCCAGATGTCATTCCACCATGGTGAATCTCAGTTATTTGTCCCTCACACTGAGGTCGATTCTTAGGGGAAATACATAATGTGTTATACTAGGTGCACCAGATGTTGGATGATCTTTCTGAGACTGTGGTTATAAAGATATCAAAGAAATACATAACATAAACTGTTTTAACACTATAACTTTACTTAGGAATGATAAATATGTGAAACTGATACACGTGCTCTTTGAGAACATCCTCATAGGTTGAATTAAAAACATTGCAAGTTTTCTGCAATGTTAATGAGCTATGGGCAGTTAATGCCTTTGCATGGTAATTAGACTCATAACAAGACAATTGGTAAAGATTTTTGATTCCACAAAATTCAAGCTATGGAAGAATGTAATATCAACAAGTGTGCTAAATTTCATGCTCATATCGGCTTTAATGGTGAAGTGAAAATGGAATGAAAACAAACTATACTTTTATTTTTAATCACTTACTACAGATTAATTAGTAAAAATTTTATGACAAAAATGAGAAACTTTAGATTTTGAAATATTGGGGGTACTCTTTAAGGGGCAGTGCTACCTTAAGTGTTAAAACCATTTTTTAAATAATTACTGCTATGACAATATTAAATCAAAAATGAAAAACAAAATAAGTTAGTTTAAACTTGCTAGGAACTTAATCCTGTTGATATTTAAAACAAAATGTAATCAACTCTACTCAGATAAATGTATTTCATAAAACTATAGCTTTCACACATCATAAGTATCACATTCCTGTATTAAAATATTTTACGTTGATGGTTATTGTTCTGCAATTACATAAACCTCCCTCTTTGGCAAATAATATAAATTGTGCTTTTCTTCTCATGCTGACGACTTGGCATTTGTTGTTAAAATTTGGTTTAAAAAAAAGTTTTTTTCTATTTGGTTAATTTGTCACTATAGTTTTGCAAATGAAACATTTTATTTGCACAAAAATCTTATGTTTAAAATATTAGAGCAATGAATGGTGAATAATTATTAGGTATATTTAAAAATATTCAAGTTTTGTTATTCTTATAACTGAAGATAGTCCATGTTGTGAATAGTGTTCCAATTTCAATAAATTACTTGATAAGTAAAATACCTTTTAAACTTTATTACATAAACAAGTACAGTTCAAGCAGACAATATTTAGAGATTCATAACCAGCAGATTTACAATGATCAGAAATAATAACAAGTAAGCATTGGAATGGACACTGTGAAAAAAAAAGAATTCCTACAGATTCAGTAACATAATATACATAAAAACAACCTAATAACATAAGAATTTAATAATCCTTGAGATTTCCTTTCTGTTAAAAGATTCTTAACCAACAATCTAAAATACATATAGATCTCTTAAACTGTTGTGTTGCATACTCATAATTGTTATTTGTTAGTTCTTTTGCTTTTTAACAGTACTATATGAAGAAGTTTTAAAACCTTAGGTTTAAAGTCACTTGAATATACACACATTATACTTTTATCATTTCTTCTGAGCTTATGAAATGACATTTCACACATTTTTATGGTCTTGTCTACCCTGGCAAATTTATTTCAATTATCAAATTCGTTCATAACCTCAACTGACCATATTTAGAAATAAACAGCACTGTAAAAAAAAACACCTTCCAATAAACAAATGGAGTTAATTCCATTAAAATTCTGAAGTTTTTTCCTCCTTTAAAACATCACAGACAATAATGGGTTATAAAACAGAAATGAATTTAACCTATTTCATTAATTGAAATACATTGAATAACATTGTTTTATGATATGAGATACTTGTAAAATTTGCATATGATTAATACAGACAATCATTCAAATGTGCTTTGATTTACAGTTAAAAACAAACCAACAAGAGTATGTGTTTTAAATCATTAACTAAGAATCAAGTACACAGAAAGATATAAAAACATTCCTATATGTGAGAAAATTTTACAAATAACACTGTCATCCAGCCACAGTGCAAATAAAACACCCACACAAGAAAGAGTAAAAATAATCTTGAGAAAATTTTTATTAAAACAATTAAAAACTTCCATTGTCCTAATACAAGTGAAAAATGCTGTTTCATAATCTATTAAAAAACAAACAAAAGACTTGAAATCTTAATAAAAAACTTCACCACGACTAAAAAATGTGTACAACTATAGCTTTTTTGGGAACATTTTAAGAGTTGTATTTTAAACACATTGTGGATCAGAAATTGTGTTCCTTTTGTTCATCAATCAAATGTAATAGTGAATAGACTATACAAACATGGCAAAATCAATTAAAAGCTTTTATCACACACACATTTGTTGAAATAATAATCTGTAGTTTTGTGACGTGTTGTATTTCATGCATACTAATTACAAGGGCTTTTGTTAAACTTTTTATCATCAAGCAATTTATACGTGTTTGCAAGCAAATCTGCCAGTAATGAAATACACTGACAATATTAATTTCCACAATCCAGTACTCCTCTTGTTTTCTCTGTTTACGGAATGCAAACGTATGAGTAGAACACTGAATTCTACAAGGTAGTTATTCATAATTATCTCATAGAATATATCTTTCCTTCTCCACCCACTGATTTTGTGTTTGTTCTTGTATTTGAATTTTCTCAGTACTGTTTTCTCTATTTACTGGCTCCTGTTAACAGAACTCCCAGATGTTTTTTCCTTCATACGCAAACCTAACTGTTTCAAATGCTGTATAGTTACAACACCATAGCAACTGATGTGGGTAGACATGTGAAATGTACACAGTAGGACAGTGCCAGCTGTTCTCCTGCAATGTTCTCAGAGTTTTTCCTTAGATGGAATCCAGATAACATGGCCTGACTGTTCTTGTATTATTCTTTTTACTCTTGAATAAATTTCTTCTGGGGTATCACCTTGAACAATACCTAAAGAAAAATTACAGTTTAAAAGGAGATTTTAAGTAGACAGTTAAAACTGCATAATTAATAGAAGAAGCCATTACAAATTTTGAAAATATAGTTTAAAGCTCCTATTGTTTTGAATTCAAAAGACAAATAAGTGATCTTAATTACACCTTGTAATTTTGACTTTTAGGTTACAAATAATTTAAATCTCAAATAAAATGAAAAAGTAATAATCAGCCAATAAACTTGTTTTGAAATCAATCAGCAGTAATAACTTACACTGACTATACTCATGTAATTACCTAATTTGCTAATTATCAAGCATTCAGTATTTTAAAATTCAAGTTGTCTCACCAGTAAAATACTGAGCAAACTCATGCTCTAATTTTATTGCACCATTGTAAGTCTTCCTAGCTTGATCTTCAGTCATTCTTTTGTTCATCTCCCTGAAATAAAACTTGGCATTTAAGTTTCAAGATGATCTATTTAACAATTTTATGGATGTTGTAATTAAATTTTTTGTCGTGGATAACTACACAGAAATATATTGCTAGATGTAAAATTACATTGGATATACAATTCAAAACTTTATTAGACAAAAAAAAAAAAGAAGTGAATGAAAAACATTATAAACTGGATACATTATCAGAGAAGTATAATATCTTTTTAAATAACCCTAAAGTCATAAATAAATCAGATTTAATAATAAATGACAAACAACTAGGTGTTTTAAACAGAGGTTTAAATTTCTCATGTAGTTCAAAAAAAAAGGTTATAAAGAAGACATCATTAACTAGACTATATGCTTTGCTTAAAGTTCATAAGATTGGGAACAATTTTAGACTTATTGTATCTAATATTAAGAGTTCAGCTTATAATGTAGCAAAATTCATGTCAAAAAAAAATTTCATATTTAAGGGATAAAAATAAATACACAGTCAAGGATTCGTTTGAATTTGTTGAAAGAATTGAGATAATTTTAGATCAGAAAGATATCTTGGTGTTTTTTGATGTTGTGCCAATGTTCACCAAAGTACCCGTGAAAAAAACTATTGCATGTTTTGAGAAAAAATTTAAAGAAAATAATAATAATTCAGTCTTAGAAATAATGGATATGATTGACCTGGTAAAAGTATGTGTTGAAAACTTATTTTTTCAACTTAACAGTAAAGTTTATAAACAAAATGAAGATTTAGTTATGGTTTTCCTTTATCTTCGTTATTATGCGACTTATTTATGGACAGCCTTAGTTAAGGTATGTTGATGACACATTTTTGATATGGTGGCATGATAAAGAGGAATTGGCCCTTTTTGCTAATTACTTTAATAACACTGACAATTCTATCAGATTTAATTATGAAGTTGATACAAATAGCTGTTTACCTTTTTTGGATGTTTTAGTAAGTAAAAATAAGGATAAATTTGAAACTAATACTTTTTTGAAAATTTTTCTCTGTAATCATTCCGCCACATCAAAAATCTTGTCACCATAAATCTGAGAAACTACTGTTTTTTACTCTTATGTGGATAGGATACTAAAATTACGTTATAAACAGGAAGACATTAATAGTGAGGTATTAATAATTAAAAACATAGCAGTAGAAAGAGGTTTTACTCCTGATATTGTTGATGGAGCTGTCAAATGCTGAAGATCAAGAAGGAAAATATTATTTAAAACCACTTACTGAAAAAAGTAAAAACGAATGTTTGGTACTGTCATTTATACCTGGTTTATCTTGTCAAATAATGAAACAATTTGGTACACAAATAAATATTTTTCCCAATATATATAAACTGAAAAACAAAGTTAGCCAAATTCTTGATATAACTAAAAATACAATTGATTTAATAGAAAAAGTTGGTATATATAGAATATCACGTGAATGTGAAAAAGTTTATATAGGACAAACTAGCAGAAATTTAAAATACATAATGAATGAAAATAAATGTTAAAAACAATAACATTATCATTTCACCATTAGCAGAACATATTAATGAAATTAAACACATAATTAACTGGGAAGAAACTGTTATTTTATCACAACCTAAAAATGTTATTAGTATGAATATACGTGAATCTAATGAGATAATCAAGTATAAAAAAGGTAAAATTAAAATAGTGAATAATGATGATGAAACTGATGGCATGAAATTCTTTAAAATGTAAATTGTATTATGGTGATTTTTTTTTTTATGGGTATAAGTAAGTGATTCTTCCAAAATATTACACTCCTGAAAATGACGTAGTAAAACACATTGAAACATGTTGAGTGTATGAGACTGTTTCCAGTATCATCTTCTTTTGTTGCTTATTAAAAAGTGAGTTTTTTAAAATTGAACACTTCCACAAGTGCCAATGAATTTTACTACATTAATTCATGTGAACAGGAGGAAAACTGCTCCAAACACACTGCAAAGTAAAAAGTTATTTCTTTTAACAAATTTGATTTCTGGCCAAGACATTCCTTGGTATGTAGTTTTGTATAATTTCCATTATTAAATATCAACAAATTCAAAAGTACCCAACATTATAATTTTCCTACGTTGAAAATTATTTCCCATACTATTTACTTCCTCTCACAAAATTTACTATTCTTGTTCAGTGCTGCACTCTATATGCAAACTTTTTCTTTACACATGCCACAAACCTTCTGTTCCCCCCCTATTTGAATCGAAAAATTCCAACATCTCATGCAAATCATCATGCATCATTCTCCACCAATAGGAGCATGACATGCTCAAGTGATGTATGTGACTCCCTCTATACTCCTTGTCCATGTAATAGTGAAAACTCAACCCCCAGAGCATAAAGATGTTGAGCAAATACTCGGACTACCTGACAGAAAACATAAGGGGCTGAAGCAACCCCAAATGGTAGTGCTCAAAATTTATAAACCATCCCTATTACATGGACAAAGAGTATAGAAGGAGTTTTTCTGTTCAGAATTTTACCTAATATAATTCTATCTAGCTTTTGTGAAATTAGATGTGAAAAATAAATGATAACTGTTTTATTTGTAAAAGAATGCACAAGCTATTTTTCTAAAGTGGTGCCATAAGTTAATAACCAAGTACAAGTCAATGCATTCTAATCATTATAAGTTTTTGTTCAATGCTTTTGCATAATCCTTGTTAGAATTGTATATTCAATTAGCTAAGTTAATTTCTGGGTAATTTCTATGTAAGTACCTTGCTTTGATAATGATAAGTGCATGTAACCAAGGATACAAGGTCCAATAAACTTATATAAATGAGTCAAATATTTGTAGTTTACTAAAATATAGAAACAACATTCCTAACAATATCAATCTACCCTTAGTAAAATAAAACTGATAACTGTGAAAAAAAAAGAAAAATTCTATACTACACCAAAAACAGACCAATCAATTACTATGTTATTTTAATAAATGATGTTCACAACTTACAAGATGGACTCCACAGAGGTGGGTTTGATGAAAATAACAATGGGATAGAGGTTAGCCATTTGAAGTCTCTTGATGGCATTTCCACTAACATCAAGAACACAGTGTTTGCCCTGAAGATATAAATTGAACATCACATACTGATACACATTACATGGGCACAGTAGATAGCAATAAAAATACATATAGCATGAACCCTGATGTAGCAAATCTAATATACTGATATATGTACCCTCATGAGATGAACAGCATGACACAAGGACAAATATAGCTTGCATTTTAGGAAGAGAAGTAACAAGCGATTCTTGATTTTCTCGTTAGCAAAGTTATGAATCTTAATAAGCCAACTTATATTTAGATTCAAACACGATATTTACTTTAATCTATATATAAAAAATATATATATATTCTTTTTTCTTTAAATACAAATGAATCAAATTCTAATAACTGGTAAAAATGTTGATAACAAAGTAAGACATTTTTACTTCATCTGGCAACATTACACCAACTCTACAACTAGTTTATCAAGTTTTAAAATGCACTAAAACTGTTACAAGCAACATCAGTTACAAATACCACTATATATCAGCATCTAAACCTAGTCGTCAAAATATCATATTATTAAAAAGAATAGATATTTCTATATATATTTTAAACTTAATGCATAAATAACTCATACAGAACTATTTTATCAATACTTTTTCTACCCAAAGTACATTGCACTAAAACTAATACATTTACACAGCCAAACATGATTACTCACACTCTCAGCTACATCTTGTACAGCTTTGGCACTTGTCCCATATAGATTATCGTTGTACTGCCCAGCCTCTGTAAACATATGGCTTTTAATGTCCCGTTCCATTTGCTCTCTTGATTCTACAAAATGGTAGTCACGGCCATCAACTTCATAGTCACGCTTTGGACGAGTTGTATCTGAAAATCATCCACCATTGATTTACTGTTTGGGTAGGAATTCTTAAAACATTTATTATATCTTTAATTTTATCTTATTTTCAGAAAATTTACTTCCTGAAAACATCAAAGATGGAACAAAACATTAGAGAATTTTAACAAATTTATCAATTACTATGAAGTCATGTAAGAATTAACTCTTCAATTACTTTAGATATTATTGGTGCATACTAACTAAAAGCCTGTAGAAAAAAGAAATTCTAAATTTTGAAGCATTTGAGGCATTTTACAAGACTTACAAATGCTTCGGTGAACAAAAAATATAATTTTATTAAAAATATTCATGTATAACACACATCAAGTGAACAAGAAATGGACACACCTGAGTATGTGTAATGTAAACCATATTGAGACGCTTGACCAAAGAAGGATATGTATACACTAAACAAATACTGAAATGCATTCCAAACTCCAGTATAAACCAGTGGTTTGTCTTGTCTACATAAATAGACATAATTGTAGCAGAGAGAAAGGCTACAAAAAGTTTATATTATCAAAACTACCTAGAGGAATTGAATTCTATAAAAAACTCACTGGGTGAACTTTGATCAGAAGGAAGATGAGGAGAAATATGCAAAGAGGTGGCCGATTAACAACTCTTGACCATAACTAATTAACAATTAGTTTTGCTTTTGAATTGATAAAATATTGGAGTTGACCTATGAGACAAAAAAACGACTTGCAAAACGAGCAGGTAGAGCTAGTTGAATCATCATAAGAACACATGAAAGTGTGAATAAAAAGTCATGTTTTTGGAACCAAAATCAGTTCTCCAATGACGAATTAAGAAGTCAGTAACCTTCATACAGATGTTACTAGATACTAGAGTTAAAGTTCCTAAAAATCTCCTATGCTTGAAGATGTCCATCTTATAAAGTATTGAAAACCTTCAGCATTCAAACTCCATGCAAGTAATTATTGCTAATCTCTTGTAACTGGTGTTGAAGTCGAACCCCGGGTGACTCACTTACACAGCTTACCATTACAATTTTAAATCTACCTATATCCTATAACAAATCCATAAAACTTCATCAACACTAAATAGGACTTAAATTTTTTACTGTCATCAACATTTTAGTAGGTAATACTTATCAGAAAGATTTATTTCTCTTCCATCCTGTTCACAACCTAAAGTTCAACTATAAGTTTGTACTCTCATTTATATATTTGATCTGTCATGACTCTGTAAGAAAACTTATATGATATGAGATAATATATATATATATATATATAAAACCTGTACCGGGGATCCTTTTAGTTTATGCGGCATTTTTAATATAATTTTTGTTTGGGTTTGTTTTTGTTCATTTAAAAATAATTTATTACAGGTTTGGATTTGCCATTTTTAACACAGTCCTTCCTTTTGATCTATTTTGTTTGACTGTTTCAGCATTAATTTTCCAAAAAACCCAGGGCACATTTTATAACCCACGTTATAGCCTGTACCCTGGGGATCCTTTTAATTTGTGCAGCATCTTTAATCTGTTTGGGCTTGTTTTTGTTCATTCATATATATATATATATTTTTTTTTTTCAGATGTAAAAACATCAACAAAAATCATCATAATGTTATTTCTTCCTACTGTTTTGCACAGATTTGCACTTAATTATTATTTTTAATAAACATGCTAAAAGAAAAGCTGGAATATTTATTAGAGTTGACTCCATTATCAAGACCATGAAAGAAACAACCATTCTTACAATGATGCTCCTTCAGTACTGAAGAAATGTCAGTTTAGCCAGAGTAATTAGTGTTACTAAGACACTTTTTTCTGTAGAACTAGCCTTGTTTTAATTAAGAAGGCACAAAATCTATATATTCCAGTACTGAAGGTACCCACAATAGTAATTAATACACTTCATCTCATAGTATTGAAGTTACCCATATCAGTAACTAATACACTTCATCTCATAGTACTGAAGGTACCCCAATAGTAACTAATACACTTCATCTCATAGTACTGAAGGTACCCGCAATAGCAAGTAATACACTTCATCTCATAGTATTGAAGGTACACACAATAGTAATTAATACACTTCATCTCATAGTACTGAAAGAAGTATTTATATTTGTTTAAAAAGATATGAAATTATGGTAACTCTGAAAAAGAGCCTAAATTGAATGATTCATTTACAAGCTCAGTAGGAAGAGTATAAACACTAGCATCAGTAAGTGCTTACATATATTTGACACAGTTCATACTGAAAAAACTTAAAATAATGATTCTCTTTTATGGTTATGTTTTTAATTTTAAAAAATCAACTTAAGTATATTTTCTTTGGAGATTGATTCTAACATACACCTCCTACACCATTAGCTCTTTATTTCATATTTAGCTTTAATCTCAAATTGTTATTTTCATCATATGTACTCATTACAAATAAAACATTATGTATGCCATAAATATTCTGTTATATAGAAATCTACTGTAAATGATTTGATTGTTTAGATGTTTTAGATATGCAACTGAAGTTCAATGAAAGGATATGTTACTAAAAAAACTTATCTTACTTACGAGGTACACAATTACCAAATCTGTCTGGGTGTTCACAGACTAAATCTTCATTAATTCTGTCTTTCAGAAAACCCAAAATAATGACTGGCCTTGTGTATGAAACTGTACAGAACAAAACAATAAAAAATGAATAAATGACAAAATATTTAACACATACCATATCAGTTTTATAATCTAAAAAAAAAGAAATATTTTTTGAATGATGTTGAAAAAACTTCATTGGTTTTAATTTTCTCGAACCCTCTATATTCAGGCTCAGTCATTTTTGACTGACCCTGTAAACAACCATGTAAATGAGGAGCTATACATACTATAACTCTGAATGTACTAAGTGTATCTTCATAAAATTTGGCAAGCCTTTTAAAAACATTAGAAGTTTGTTGTACAAAAAAAAAATCAGATTTTGTAACTAAATAATTTTTACTAAAGATTTACTGTGCTTACACACGTCATTTCCACTTAACCAAAAATTTTGAAATAATTATCCAATTCTTTTTTCAAGTCAGAAAATGAAATTCAAAAAATTTTTCAATGACATAGTTTTTTTTATTTACACCTTCACAGATAAATCAAGCAATATAATCCGTGTAACAGGTAAAAGCTTATAGATTGCAAATTTCTGTGTTTTTCAGAAATATAAAGTGTGGGTCAACATCTTTTACTAAATGCTATTTACTTCATTTTAGTGGTTCCACATGTATTAAGTAAGAGTATTTTACTTCAATGTTTAGTCTAATATTGTTATAATATAAATAAGCTGAGATTGTTAAATTATTCAAAAATTGTTGGGAGGACGGACTACTAAAGACAGAATATAGGAAAATCAGGTGATATATGATATCAGGAAAAAAGAGATTTTTGAATGTAAGCTTGCCCTCATAGTTTGTTCTTTACATTTTGTGACTATCCATGATTTAATCTGGATACTACAAAATGTGATACATAGACAGAATGCAAAAACCAGAAAACTTCTTCTCAAAACACCAATGATAATGTATGTTGTAGTCTTACACTACAACATTTCTAAAGCATCTGCTAATAAACAGGATACCTGATTGAGGATATTATATTCTTAAGCTCTATGAGCAGACAGAAATATTCAATCCATGACAGAAGATACTGAAGACATTATTTTTTGTGACTGTATGCACTATATATGTGGCTAAAACTTTTTTACATATGTTCTACCTTTACATTATAAGACTATGGACCAAATATTTGTTTAATGACACAAACAAGAATGACAATGCTCCAAACAATAATTACAACAGTGTTTAAAACTTCAAAATTTATACAAGAAAATCAGTGGAAATTCTTAACCCAAAACCTCATCTGTTATTTACAATCAAAAATTAAAAAAGTCATTCCTAGCAGACATAATGAAAATTAAGGTCAAGAAAAACCATTATAAAAATACAACACAAACTTGATTGTGAAATCGAATACAGAGGACCCTAAAAAATAATAAAAAATTCAATATTTTTCAGTGTCAACAAACAAACTATAAAAAAAACATACTTTCTTGTTGAGTGACTGCTTCGTAGGACAGTACTGGATCTTCAAGTGCTCCTAAAATAATGGTTTATTATTATTCATTACAACTACAACACATTTAAATTTGTAGTAACTATAAAATAAATACAAATATTTAAATTATATTTAAAACTTTGAGCCAACAACAGAGATTTACAATATTAGTACATCACATAGTTGAGATATAATTATGGATGAGTGAAAATAAAAGATGGCAAATGTCTTCGAACAAATGATAAAACAAAATTACCATACTACTGAACAACAAAAAAAGCAAGTTTGTACTACGCTTTAAAGCAAAAAACATACACAGAGAGAAGTTTTTAAATATCTATGGTATTGATCATCAAAAACAAAAACCTTACATCACTCAAAGAACTAAAATAATTTACATAAAAACAGATATTTTTACAAACTTGACATAGAAATTGTCTATTTTCAACTCTGGAGTTACTATAAAAATAAAAAATACCACACAGTACTCTATTATATGCATTTACTGTTGAGATAAAGTTGTTCTTTTTTTATGAAAAAAAATAGCATTGACTTTAGCATGAAAAGCTTAATTGCACTACTTTTATAACAATGCATTACTATCAATTTCTAGCATCAACATGGTTGTGCTATACGCCAATCGATTTATTATTTAAGTTTTTGTTTACTGTATAACAGTAGAACTTTGAGACTAACAAAACTTTACTGTGCATTTATCCATTTATTCTGGTACTGAAATTACCCATAATAGTAATTAATACACTTCATCTAATAGCACTGAAGTTATCAATAATATTACCTAATATACTTTATCTCATATGTAAAACAGTACCCGAAAACTTCTACTTAAGAACAACACAGTACAAATGTAAAAATTCACCTCCTACTGTTATAAAAATAACATATCATATCTCATCCTTAAAATGTCTCTTAAATTACAATTAACAGGTTTATAGGGAGAGGTTTAGCCAATAACAATCTGCTATTCACTTCAAATGTTTATGTTATTTTCAAAGATACTCTATTCTTCTTCTAGTTTATTTTGTTTGTATGATTTATTGTATTAGGTCATCAATAAATTAATGTCGCGTTTTGGAACACTTTCATTAACCACTCCCCCCAAAAACGTACATAACGTATAATAGTTAAACAAACCGCCTAAATGTCATGTTAGTGTAGCCTATATAATGTGTAAAGTTTAGTATACTCTAATCCCTTATAGTGATGGCACACGATGAGATACACAATCGACATGTAATGCTGTTTGAATACAAGAAAGGAAACAATGCCTCTGTAGCCACAAAGAATATCAAAGAAGTTTATGGAAATGTTTTGAACGTTATTAAGTGTCAACAATGGTTCAGCAAATTTCGTTCAGGTGACTTTAGCCTTAAAAACTGTGATGGCAGGGGCCGACATGTTGGAATTGATACTGATGCTCTGAAGATGCTTGTTGAGTCTAACCCAAGACAACACACTCATAAAATGGCCCTGAAATTGCATGCCTCTCATGGTGTTTGGGTGCCTCATGAACTCTCCGATGATCATCGTTTCCAACGTGTG